CATTATCAGCGAGTGTCTGACAGGAGGGAGAGTCTCAGTGTTATTGACCTCTGCAGGACTGAGGAATTCACACACACACACACACACACACACACACACACACCATAGAGCCAAACACAGCGGCTGAAAGGCATGCTGGGACTGATTTACCGGCAGTCTAGTTTTACACTGAACTACTGTGTGTTTTGGCAGAACGATGAGCTCTAATCTCTGCTCGGAGTTTCCCTCTCATTCTGTGTGTGTGTGTGTACGTGTCTGTGTCTCTGTGTGTGTGTCTTTGTTTCTGTGTGTGTGTTTCAGTTTGCGTCTTTGTTTCTGTGTGTATGTCTGTCTTTGTGTGTTTTATATGTGTGTTTGTGTTTTTGTATGTGTCTCTCTCTGTGAATGTGTGGCTCTCTGTGTGTGTCTGCGTACCTGTGTGCATATATGTGTCGCTATATGTTTCTTTTTGTGTGTATGTCTATCTTAATGTGTGTCTCTCTGTCTGTGTGTGTGTTTTAAAATGTTCGTGTGTGTGTGTGTTCCTGTGTGTGTGTGTGTGTGTCTGTGTCTTTGTTTCTGTGTGTGTGTACATGTGTGCGCGTTTGTGTGGTGTGTGTGTGTGTGTGCGTGTCTATGTGTGTGTGTTTGTGCATGTGTGTATGTCTATCTTTATGTGTGTCTCTCTGTCTGTGTGTGTGTTTTAATTTTCGTGTGTGTGTGCGTGTGTGTCTGTTTACCTGTGTGCATATGTATGCCTTTGTGTGTTCCTGTGTGTCTGTGTGCGTGCGTGCGTATGTGTGTATGTCTGTGAGTGTGTTTTTGTGTTTGTGCATGTGCGTATGTGTGTTTTTATATGTGTGTGTGTGTGTGTGTGTGTTTGTATATGTCTGTGTTTTTATATGTGTGTGTGTTTATTTTTGTTTATGTCTGTGTGTGTTTTTATGTGTGTGTGTGTCTGTTTTTGTTCGTGTCTGTATCTATGTGCATGCATGTGTCTCTATGTGTGTCTGTGTGTGTGTTTCTTTGTATGTGTCCGTGTGTTCCTGTGTTTGTGTGTGCCTCCCTCTGTGTAAATATGTTTCTGTATGTGTGTGTGTGTGTGTGTGTGTGAGAAAGAGACGAGACAGAGCAGCATGAGATTACTGTTATCTGTGGCCTTTAAGATGATGACTATTTCTGTCACATCAAGCTCACAGTAAACTCTGATTGGCTGAACACCCCGCTTCACTTAACATCCCACACACTTCCCTTCAGAGGAGACTTTTATGCAGCAAGCTTATGCTTAACTGGCTACTAGTTATTGGTTAGGGCACTACTGGCTCAGTGGTGTCACACTGTGGCCTCACAGTAAGAAGGTCGCTGGTTCAAATCCCGGCTGGGCAGTGTTGGGGAAGTTACTTTGGAAGTGTAATAGATTACAGATTACATATATTTACATATATTACATAATATACACCCTATATTTAAATTGTAATAAGTAGTAAACCTTTTCAATTACTTCATAAAAGTAACTGATTACATCTGATTACTCTTTGATTACTTTCCATTTCTATTGGATATTAACTAAATTATATTCAAGCATTTATACCGAGCAGATGTGACCTTACAGTAGCTCTCTGCTTACTGTTAGAGTTTCAAAATCTCTCATCACTTTAATTAAGGCTCTATTTACACTAATGCGTTTTAGTTTGAAAACGGTTATGTCATCCGTCCACACTACGCCAGAGTTTTCGAGCGCCGAAAACGGAGCGTTTTGAAAACGCTGAAGAGGCTGTTTTCATTCTGAAACGCTGCTGCTCTGTCTCAGTGTGGATGAGGGAAAACGGAGACATCTGAAAACGGAGGCGGGGCTGCTGAGATTCGCTACCTGGATGGGGCTTTTGTGTCATTGCGTATCCTTCCCTTATTCGTCAAGCCCCTATCACATGACTATAACACACGGCTTTAACGCTACCGGAAGACAGCAGACCAGCCTTCACTGTAAACAACAACATGGACACAGAAATGGGAGCGTTGTTTGCACTATTGTCTGTTTTAGGCGCTATTGTGCAGTTATTCATTTGTTACGTTTAGTAACGTTTCGACCTCGTCATCCGTCCACAAGAATACCTCTCTTGCTTTCTTTGCCATCGCCTTCATTGTTCAACTGGCGTTTGTTGACTAACAATAACCAAATGCCGAGCGTGACGCATGCTTCCTGTTTATACTAGAACGCGCATGCCCAGTGCCCGAATGGTCACATGATATACGTTTTTGGTGGCTAGCGTGGACGAAGATATGTTCAGAAACGCTAGTTGAAATGCAAGTAACGCGAGTGTGGACGCGGATCGTTTTTGATCTAAAATGACGTTTTAAAACTAAAACGCACTAGTGTAAACGGAGCCTAAGATTATTCATTCATTCATTTTCTTTTCAGCTTAGTCCCTTTATTAATCCGGGGTCACCACAGTAGAATGAACCGCCAACTTATCCAGCACATGTTTTACACAGCGGATGACCTTCCAGCTGCAACCCATCTCAGGGAAACATCCAGACACACTTATTCACACACATGCACTACAAACAATTTAGCCTACCCAATTCCCATGTACTGTCTTTGGACTATTGGGGAAACCAGAGCACCAGGTGAAAACCCATGCGAACGCAGGGAGAACATGCAAACTCCAAACAGAAACGCCATCTGATGCAGCCGAGGCTTGAACCAGCGACCTTCTTGCTGTGAGGCGACAGCACTACCTACTGCGCCACCGAATTGAGATTATATTAATTTAATTTTAAAGTACAACCACAGCAAGACCAGACCTTATAACAAAAAAAGTGTTTACTGTTGTTACAAAATCTAAATTTTAGTCAGCTGCAGGGGGATTTTTGTGGCATTTGCAATAAAAAACACATCTGAGTTATTTTAGCCATTTTAATTTTTAAATCGAAGCATCTTAAATCCAACTCAATCAGATCGTAGTGATCAATAAAACTGTCGATAGCTATGTTTCCATCCAAAAATGCGAATTAACTTTATGAATTATCAAACAAAAGACGTGCGAATAAAGCAGTATTTCCATCTAATGCAGGGGTCACCAATCTCGGTCCTGCAGGGCCGGTGTCCCTGCTGGATTTAGCTCCAACTTGCCCCAACACACCTGCCTGGGTGTTTCAAGTATACCTGGTAAGACCTTGATTAGCTTGTTCAGGTGTGTTTGATTAGGGTTGGAGCTAAAATCTGCAGGACACCGGCCCTCCAGGAACAAGTTTGGTGACCCCTGATCTAATGAGTCAAAGCAAACAAAAACGCCACTTCCAGATTAACTGGCCCCAAATCATAGATATATACATTAGATGTCGCCTGGCCTAGTGTTGTCTATTGGACGGAATGCGTCAATAGCGCCGCCATCTTGGTACAGGGTAACGCTCCTTTGAAATGAATGTGGGACCAAGGTACAGAGGAAGACTGTGGCCATTCAAAGCCAGAGTTATACACATATACACATATATCTGTGATCGGGAGTTTTCCTGGATGTTAGTATGTAATTTTTTTTTTTTCTAATTACGAAAATTATAATTTGACATCACTTTTCTACATTGATGGATCAGTGACCGCACGGGCATTCCTGACAAAAAGCTTGTGTTTGTGTGTACAGAAATGTACTATCCACCCTCCCTGTTAAATTTGATCTAATCATGTCCTGAAACACAGCTCCTCTCCTGCTTTCACTGCTCATACTGACAGAGGGAGCGATTCGTTTGTGAATGAATCCCCTGAACGACTCTTTCACTAACGTTAGCCGACAATAATACAAGTTTCTGGCAGCGCAGCATCTCGTTGTCATATTTCTTTTGCATTGTTTGCTGATTTTATTCAACAAAACTAGCATAAGCCGAGTGTTTAGTGTGAGTTGGAGCTGCTTTGCCGTATGGTGAATGCAGTAAGTGACTGTTATCATCAATAACGTTACCTGATTAGCACAAAAGTTCAGAACATACAAAAACAGAAAAAAATTAATATTACCTATGAAATGTTCTGCCTTTGTGCTTTGTTGTCTTTGTTTGCTCGTTTCTACACCCGTAGACATCGCTAAAGTCCCGCATCTTCACGTAATAACACTGTCTTGACTAGTGCGGTTGAATGACATTTGTCCTGGGAGCACTGTACCAATGTGGCGGCGCTATTGACGCATGCTCAGGGTCCCTATGCGATATCTAGTGTATATATCTATGGCCCCAAATATCAACAGTAAAAACAAGAGAAGATAAGCTGCGTCAATCTTTTCTTCATTTAATAAATGACTTGCGCCTCAGAAGGCAATCCTAACGCACAGTGAACGCGCGGTGGCGTTTGAAGGCGTGAGATGGAGAACACAGACACTCTGTAATTCTGGAGGACGTTATTAATATAACACTAATATTAAGATGGATATGGTGCTTTAGAATGACCAATAAATACTATAAATAAATACTACTGATAATATTAATAATATTATACAGATGCAGATTGTCAATCATTTTTGTAATATTTTAATCATTTTATTTTTCATCTGTAAAGATATTTGTGTGTTGTTGTTCATCCTGTGTGTTTAAGCTGCGTGTATGAGTTTACATCTAACGTCCTCTGTGACTTTACAGCAGCTTTCAGCTGGTCTATTGCACAGTCTGCTTTAGTTCCTCAAATTAGCAAAGCTCCAGCAATGCGCCTTAACACACCTCTTTTCTAGACCAGAACACCCATGAGTCCACAGTGGCATAAATGGATTTGCTATTTAAACAATGTGGTCGAAAGCGGGAAAATTAGGGTTGCGTTGATCTGAAAATAGCAACAAATCGCACCAAACAGACCTTGCGCCTTAATGCGCCATGGTGTATAATAGGGCCACATGTTTTTTTTTAATGATATCGCCTAGCGGTAGCATATATAGTGTGAAAAGTAAAGGACAAAGAACTGAGCCTTGTGGTACACCACAGTAACTTTCCCAGCACTTATTCTGCTTGACAGGCTGTAAATCCACACGTGATGCTTCGTTTACCCTCTGCTGTGTGATCCAGGACATGGCGTCAGTGTAGAAGCGGTTTGGTTCTTCACGGCTCACGCTGCGCCGCATTGAACGGGAGCTAAACCTCTGCGTCTGCTGCAGAGGAGCCGGAGGAGGAGCATTCAGAGCCATGCTGAGATCCCGAAACTGATCCGAGAACAGAGTCACACTGAAAGACACAGACAAAGAGATGGCAAGGAGGCATGAGAACAACATTAATGAAATGCAACATATACAGGCACAGTATGAAAGGTCTAAGGGTCCAGTCTTCGTATGTGGATGTTGGTTATTGATTATTTAACATGATCCAGGATCGTTTCGATCCCAAAAACTCATCCTAGAGTTGTTGTCAAGTCTGGAAGCTCAAACCTGCTCTTGAGATCAACAGCTTAATTTATATAAGCAGGGTTAGATCGGGTCATTTCAGAAAATCTGCTCTAAAAGTAAAGCTGCTAATACTCCTGACATATGAAAGTGTAACGCCTGCAGGCCACAACACGTGGAGAGTCACTGAGCGTCATATTTAACAAACCGTTTACTGCAAATTTGATGTAATTTAGCTCACATGGATAATTGAATATTAATCAGATGATGTCATTACTCTGCTGTGCCGTCAGCCAATTGCTGCATTGCTGATCATGATTTCGAGGATGGATCGATCTGTCCTTTACAATGCACACAGATCTCAGATCAGCTCATCCAGATATTTTAACCAGATTAGCCAGAGATCAGTTACCAGGATTTAGAGATCCAGGATCTGCTGAATCAGCTTAGACTGTTTAGGTGAGGTACGAAGAACTGACCTCAGGACTGGATTTGTGTGAGTGTTTGTCGTTCAGTGTTGTGTGTGTGTGTGTGTCTCACCTCCTCATCAAACTCTCAGACGGCAGGTTCTGCTGGTTTAATTCCATGGCAAACATTTTGAGCTCATCAATGATGTCACCAGCAGACAACAGACTGTTATGAGCATCCGTCATAGCACCGTTGTCTCCACCCTACACACACACACACACACACACACACACACATACATACATACAGATAAGCACACACATGCACCCACATGCACACATACATGCACACATACATGCACACACAGACACGCACACGCACACACACATGTATACAGATACACAAAAATGCACAAATGCACACAGATTTACACAAGCACACACAAGCACAAATACACACACACACACATGTACAAACAAGCACACACAAATGCAAGCACATGCACACACACATACACAAGCACGCAAACGCACACACAAGCATGCACACAAGCATGCACACATAAACAAGCACACGCATGCACACAGACATGCACATGTACACACAAGCACAGACAAACACAAACACAAACATGCATGCACATACACACATGCACACACACAAAAACATGCATGCACAAATGCATACGCGCGCACACACATAGGCACAAACAAATGTACACATGCACACACAAGAATGCACATATGCACAAGCACACACAGAATCATGCACATATACACAAGCACACACACACACAAGCATGCAAAAATGCAAGCACGTATGCACGAGCACACAGACGCACACACACAAGCATGCACAAATGCACACACAAGCACAGACAAACACACGCATGCATGCACAGACAAACATGCACATACACAAGCATGCACACAAGCATACGCGCACACACACACAGGCACAAACAAAGGTACACATGCGCACACACAAGCATGCACACATGCACACACATACACAAGCACACACAGAAGCATGCACATATACACAAGCACACACACAAGCATGCACACATGCACACACATACACAAGCACACACAGAAGCATGCACATATACACAAGCACACACACAAGCATGCTACACATGCATGTGCACACACACACACACACACACACACACACGCACACACACACACACGCACACACACACGCACACACACACGCACACACACACGCACACACACACGCACACACACACGCACACACACACGCACACACACACGCACACACACACGCCGAGAACAATAGAAATGCAGGCGTCAGAAAAGCCAGGATTATGAAAGCAAACAGTGCTTGAGTTGAGTGTGTGTGTGTGTGTGTTTGTGTGTGTGTGTGTTTGTGTGTGTGTGTGTGTGTGTGTGTGTGTGTGTGTGTGTGTGTGTGTGTGTGTGTGTGTGTGTGTGTGTGTCTTCAGGCCTGAATGAGCATCTGGAGGACTCAAGTGTCAATCTGAAAATCTCATTCACTCAATAACAAATCAGCAGAAAGTCAAAGCACAAAGCAGCAACGTCAGCAAACATAACACACAGCAAACTGAAAACACAGAGAGAGTTACACAAACAGAGAGCAGAAGACGCAACACACAGCACAGCACGCCATCTCATTAATTTCTCCCATCTCAATCCAAAATATGTGATTATTGTGTGCAAAATACAGCAGATGGTGTAAAAAAATGCGCAAAAGAAGATACTCTGAAGAATGTTCATGCTGCTCTTTTTTTTTTTTATTCTGCTCTACACATTTTTAAATCCAGACATATGTACGCTTGATGCAAAACACATCTTTTTGTTTTCTTTCTTTCTTTTAATGTAATAAAATGAAACGTTTTCATAAGAAAGAATGAAAATTTCACTGGGGTAAGAGAAATAAAAACAAAAGAATAATAATAAAAAAATGTAATACTAATAATTTCACGAGCAGATACTGTTGCTCATTAAAAAAAGTTTTTGATATTTTACATATACAGTTGAAGTCAGAATTATTAGCCCCCTGTTTATTTTTGTCCATAATTTCTGTTTAACTGAGAGCAGATTGTTTTCAGCACATTTCTAATCATAATAGTTTTAATAACTCATCTCTAATAACTGATTTATTTTCTCTTTGTCATGATGACAGTAAATAATATTAGACTAGATATTCTTCAAGACACTTCTATACAGCTTAAAGTGACATTTAAAGGCTTCACAAGGGTAATTAGGTTAACTAGGCAGGTTAGGATAATTAGGCAAGTGATTGTATAACAGTGGTTTGTTCTGTAGATTATCGAAAAAAATAAAGCTTAAAGGGGCTAATAATATTGACCTTAAAATGGTGTTTAAAAAATTAAAAACTGCTTTTATTCTAGCCGAAATAAAACAAATAAGACTTTCTCCAGAAGAAAAAATATTATCAGACATACTGTGAACATTTCCTGAATCTGTTCAACATCATTTGAGAAATAATAATAAAATCAAAGGGGGCTAATAATTCTGACTTCAACTGTATATATTGATTAACATATGAGCAATTCCATGCAAATGTCAGCCTTACCATTAAAAAAATAAGTTTTCACCAAAATATCAAAACCGTTTCATCGTTTTTTTTGTGTAAGCAAGTATTTTACAGTGCTTTGAAAATACTCAAATGTCTCTGTTAATGTTTTCAATCTATTATATTTAAATTACCAAATTCACACAAGTGCCAATTTCACATCCGTCACATCCATAACAGAGCGTTTTCCTCATGAATGCAATAATATAAATAAAATCAATCATTTTTGTTCAATAGTGAGCAACTCTTCTCCTTTTGATTAGCACGGTTTCTCTTGGGTTGCGCAGTTTAATTTACAGACGTTCTACAAAGTATTTTAACTCGCTAACTTTTTTGGTCATATCTGTAGCGCATGTATTCCCTGATTTAAAATACAAATAATGTTTACAGATTGATCTTTTTCTGATGCCATCTGTGGTTAGTTCTTTTGTAAAGTATAAACAGATGTTTGAATATAATGTTAACATATGCTTTCTTTGTGAATTTCGGTTTTGAGATTTTACTGCAAATGTCACATCCATAACACTGGAATTGCTCATATGCAGAATATGTAATTGACATAAAATGTGAAAACAGCAACACATTTTATATAAAAACAGTAAAAAATATATATATGCATATAATATATAGAGTTGAAGTCAGAATTATTAGCACCCCTGATTTATTAGCCACCATTTTTTCCCCAGTTTCTGTTTAACGAAGAGCAATTTTTTATCAACACATTTCTAATCATAATAGTGTTAATAACTCATCTCTAATAACTGATTTATTTTCTCTTTGTCATGATGACAGTAAATAATATTAGACTAGATACTCTTCAAGACACTTCTATACAGCTTAAAGTGACATTTAAAGGCTTAACTAGGGTAATTAGGGTAACTAGGCAGGTTAGGATAATTAGGCAAGTTATTGTATAATGATGGTTTGTTCTGTAGACTATCAAAAACAAATATAGCTTAAAGGGGCTAATAAAATTGACTTTAAATGATTTTTAAAAAAAATTAAGAATTGCTTTTATTCTAGCCGAAATAAAACAAATAAGACTTTCTCCAGAAGAAAAAATATTATCAGACACACTGTGAACATTTCCTGAAACACCATTTGAGAAATAATAAAAATAATTTAAAAAAAAGAAATTCAAAGGGGGGCTAATAATTCTGACTTCAACTGTATATACATATATTTTACAACAGTTCTGTCTGATTCTTGAACCTGATATTCTGCAATACCAGCACTTGTGCAGCCTCTTCACTCTGCTGTATTCCTCCGCCCACATAGAGTGACAGCAGATCAATAAACTCACTACAGTCTGACAAATATTGCAGCAGTTGCACAACATCATGTACTTCTGAGGCATTTTTAGGTGAAAATGTAGTTGTTTAGATAGCAGCTGTGCAATTTATTTATTAGAATAGTGCCTATTTTAAAATATTTATAATTTCAGAGATTCAGCACATCGGCTTCCATCAGCCTGCCATTAAGCAGAGCAAAGACGGTTGACATTTCACCACAAGATGTCAGCGACCGCATAATAATCCTTAGAAGAGGAAACATACAGTGTAATTTTAAACTATAGCTGATCTAATCATTATAAATCAGGTAAGTGACTCTAAGTCGATCTCTTGCTTTTGTATGTGGTAGTGCTGTATTTATACGACAGAAATCTGCTAGTGTTTGCTTTGGCTTTATCAGGGTTAATTATTGTGGTCTCCTGATTACAACAGAGAAATACTGGGAAATCTCTGTAGACTGATGACATTTCATGTCGTATAATCTTGAAATGTGAGCAAAATCAGCTGTTTTGTCATCACTTTAGACATTACGCTAGAGAATCATTCAAACCCTAGCTCTAAAGAGACACTGGTGAATGAGCAGCGGTTGTTCTAACCGTCAGCTGCAGATGTGAATGAACGGTGGAAGAAAGTAGTTCCTCTTACAAAAGTGTTTTTAGGCTCTCTGTCTTTGATTTTATTTCTTATATACACGATTATGCCGTCAAACTGATGTATAAACGCAATATCACACGAGTAGCAGTGCAATGTGGCTGTAAATCGTCACTGGTGGGAGCACTAAGCCGCTGTCCCACCGTCCCACAATGCACGCCTCCCACCAGTGCCAATATACAGCCATATCACACTGCAACTCGTGTGATATTGCTCGTATAAACATATATATAGTATTTTTTTGTGACACATTGGGGTCACCAGAAAATATAATAACAAAAGAAAATAAACCAAGTAACTTTGAGAGATATAATAAAGATAATAAATAACTAAATAAAGAAATTGGAAATCGTTTATAAGGGAGGAAATGAAGATAAATGAAAGTAGAATGCTAAAAAAAAAAAAATCACTTTCGTTTTCTCCAAAACGGCTCATTCAGAGGAGGCAGGGGGTGTTTCATCATCTGAGAATGAATCTCACGAGCCTGTGAAACACACTGTTGCCTATCAGAGAAAATCAACAGCAGAAGCTCTGTGTGTGTGTGTGTGTGTGTGTGTGTGTGTGTGTGTGTGTGTGTGTGTGTGTGTGTGTGTGTGTGTGTGTGCATGACTACACTCACAGATTTAAATATTGATGCCGCTCTTTCCAGGTAGTCCTGACACTGGGCCTGCAGAAAGGAGATCCGCTGCTGGAGAGGCGACATGGCCGGCCTGCTGCCAGAAAACAAAAGTCAGTGTGTGTCACAGGAGTCAATTACAGGAAAAGCTGATTTTAGTTCCCTCTGAAATATTTGCTTTGGTTTTGTTCATGTTAAGGCTGATTTATACTTCTGCGTCAAACACCGGCGTATGCTACGGCGCTGACGCATAGCCCTTTGCCGTGGCCGTCGGCGTCACTGACGTGCACCTCTCAAAAAATGTAACTACACGTCGAAACGACGCATAGCGCAAGCTCTGTGATTGGTCGGCTTGGTAGCGTTGACGAGTCTGGGCGGGACCGAGAGCCGCGTGAGCGGCGTGACCCCGATGCAGCGATTGTTTACAAGTGTGGAGTCCCATGAAGGAGCTCCGGATGGAAAGTTTTGTTTTGTGTTTACCTCATAGTTAAAGTTGTTGGACGTCCGCCAGTTCCTGCCTCAAAATGAGCGAGTTTGAGCCACTTGTACATCCCAGAAGTGTTCAGTAAAAGCAAAACAGAAGCGAAGAAACTCGACACAGAGGAACATTTACACCTCACTGCCCACTAGCTTTTCGGAAGTGTTAATGCAGACCAACAGAGACAGCAGAAGTATAAATGCGCCGTGGGTTACGCAGGTCACTTGACGCAGAAGTATAAACTAAGCTTTAGTTTGCATTCCCTGGTTATCAAACCGACATGATCGACTTGTGTCTTGTAATTGAAAACGTCTGATAGCACTCTATTGGAAGAATATAGAAAGTCCATCCATTGGTCATTGGTTGAAAGATTTGTCACATGATGCTGCACCTTAGAGAATAAAGCCTGGTTTATACTTCTGCGTCGGAAGTGACTGGCGTAACCCACGGCGCATGCAACACACGTAGCTGTGCATTTATACTTCTGCTGCTGTCTCTGTTGGTCTGCATTAACACTTCCGAAACGCTAGTTGGCAGTGAGGTGTAAATGTTCCTCTGTGTCGAGTTTCTTCGCTGCTGTTTTGCTTTTACTGAACACTTCCTGGATGTACAAGTGACTCAAACTCGCTCATTTTGAGGCAGGAACCGGCGGACGTCCAACAACTTTAACTATGAGGTAAACACAAAACAAAACTTTCCATCCGGAGCTCCTTCATGGGACTCCACACTTGTAAACAATCGCTGCATCGGGGTCACGCCGCTCACGCCATTCACGCGGCTCTCGGTCCCGCCCAGACTCGTCAACGCTACCAAGCCGACCAATCACAGAGCTTGCGCTATGCGTCGTTTCGACGTGTAGTTACATTTTTTGAGAGGTGCACGTCAGTGACGCCGACGGCCACGGCAAAGGGCTATGCGTCAGCGCCGTAGCATACGCCGGTGTTTGACGCAGAAGTATAAATCAGCCTTAACATGAACAAAACCAAAGCAAATATTTCAGAGGGAACTAAAATCAGCT